TACACCACCCTCGACGCAGAGGCCAGACGGTTGGGAAGGTTGGTGACGCAGAGGCCAGACAGTTGGAGAGGTTGGCCAGCCTCAGTCGGATTTGAACTTGTGGACTTGACACTTGAGTTAGATTGTGGACTTATGGAATTGTTGAATTTGGACTTGTGATGATACATGTGATGATCTATGTGATATCTGTGAGATATATGTGATATTTGTGAGATATATGTGATGATTGTGATATTTGTGGGATATTTCTGCTGTTGAATATATATATATATATATTTTGTCTGCATGGAAAGCAAGAAACAGGTGGAATGTTGAAAATTTTCACTGGTCTTTGCCGAGGGCCTTGACCATAGCCCTCGGCAAAGAAATTCCCAGGAAAAATTAAAAACAGGTCTTTGCCGAGGGCCTTAACCATAGCCCTCGGCAAAGAAATTCCCAGGAAAAATTAAAAAGTAGGTCTTTGCCGAGGGTTTTGAACACAGCCCTCGGTAAAGAAATTCCGAGACAAAAATAAAAACGTAGGTCTTTGCCGAGGGCCTTCGATATAGCTCTCGGCAAAGAAATTCCGAGAAGAAAAAAGAAAATAGGTCTTTGCCGAGGGCCCTTCGGTATAGCTCTCGGCAAATAAATTCCAAAAAAAAAGCTCTTTGCCGAGGGCCTGTATGTCAGCCCTCGGCAAAGACGCCGTGGAAAATAACCGCGTACCTAACGGCTACTTTACTTTGCCGAGGGCCGCCGTTAGCCCTCGGCAAATACTTTGCCGAGTGCCCGATAAAAGGCCCTCGGCAAAGACTCCTTCGCCGATGTTTTTTTTCCCGAGGGTTCTTCACCGAGGGCTGCCCTCGGTAAATCCTTCGCCGACGGCTGAAGAGCCTTTGCCGAGGGCTTCAGGCCCTCGGGAAAGACCCTGCATCCAGTAGTGTCACGGGAGTCTCACATGACGCAAATTTATATGTTCCGATCTTTGCGGTATGTATACGAAAACGTCCCTTCATACCGGAGTACGATAGATTTCACAACTACTCAATTTGTAAACTTACCGGTTCTCTCTTCCTATGTCACTATTATTACATTAGATTAGAAGTTTGTATATAGATTTCCTATAATAATCTGCGTATACTTGCCAAGCGTCTAAGGCACATTGACTTATCCATAATCATAGAACTATACCTTTTTTGTGTTAATATAATAACTAGCAAACAACATACCTTGTGTTGCAACATACGTACGCTACTAGAAAGCAAAATTTTTACAGGTGACCAACACCAATTAACGGAGACCGGCATACACGAGGGCCAGCCTGTGGAACTAGATTTCTAGCTAGAGGTGGGTGTGTTAGGATACCCGCCTCTAGAAATTAATTAAAAAAAATAAAAAAAAAGTCTTTGGTCAGAGGCACCGCAAATTTATGGGACAATGGGACATGTAGCACATAAACCAATCCCAAAGCAATCGGTCTTCGCACGAACGAAGTAGATATGATCAATCTTGATTTGCTTCGTGCCATACAGGCAATACTGCCATTATCACAATAAATGAATGGTGCAGTATGTGGATGTAAAGCTCCTAGAGAAGTTGTCATTCATATTGTATTTGATCTTTACAAAAATCAATGCGTGAAAAAAAAAGTGAATCACATATATCTGCCTTCGACAATCATATAGTTGTTCTCCTTGGATTTAGCATTTTGAGAATTGAGTACTTATCTCTTTTTGAAATCTAATTCAAGGGATACTATGTCTTGAAAAAGTTAAAATTAAAAAGTTAAAATTCAAGGGATACAATTGAGTACTTATCTTGTCAGAGCCCGGCAGGAGGGGGCCCCTGGATGGCGGCGGCTAGGGTTAGGGGAGGTGTAGGCGTCGGCTATGGGGAGGGGAGAGAGGCGCTGGGGAAGAAGACTGAGGCTTAGAAGGAAGAGGAGGGGATAGAAGGCCCTTGGCCTGTTCTACTATTGCTTAAGATTGAAAGGTTACATAGCCCCTGTCTTTATAGTCCCGTGAGACTTCTGTTCGGCTGATACATAAGCCGGTTGATAAGCCGGCTGAAACTGTTTTGTTGTGAGAAAAAAATATTGTAGATTCTAACTGATAAGCCGGCTGATAAGTTCAAGCGAACAGGGCCTAGCCCCTAAGCAATCTAACTTATCCTCCAAGCAAGCTAATCCTAATCCTCCTAGATCTGGATGTCGGCGGCGCGGCGGGAAGCCGCCCCTCCACTGGTCGCGCCCCCTCTTGGTGGCGCGGTCAGCCCAGACCTAGCCGGCCTGGGCCCCCTCTTGGGCCCTCTCCTGGGCCCTCCATTAGACGTATGACATCTCTTCCCCCTTCTCCAGGCAGCGCGTACTCGTGCTGCGGTTTTGCTTGATCGTTGATAGGGCTTGTGGCTACGGCGATCCAGGGCAAAGCCAGGGCTTTCCATTCAACCGTCTACACAGCGAGGTGTGCGGGCTCAAGGCGAAGTTTGACGGCCCTTCCTCGCCACGCGAGGTGGCTGGAGTTGGCCGGAACGGCTCTGACGCAGCGGCGACATGGGCGCTTGGCCACGCTGACGGTGCGAACACGACCAGCGCCCCCAAGGGCTCCTAAGCTAGCGTGGTTGGGGCTTTGTGCTCCCCACAGGGAGGCGCAACCTACCGTGGTGACGGGTCCACCGCTACCGCTCCGGATCTGCTGGAACGGGGCTTCACCGCGGCGGGGCATGGTCGCGGTGAGCGTGTGCTCGTGCAGAGCGCTGGTGGAGGCGTACCCGAGCTCAGAGGGCTCAGCATCGTCGCGTTGTGGCCTTTTGGTGTGTGCGTGCGTGTGCGGTGCTAAGCAACGGTGAAAGGCCGCGCCTTTGGTCCTCCCAAGTGGGGACAACACGGTGGCGGCCATGGCGGTCATGCCGGCACGATAGACGGGGTCTCAAGGCTCACCGGTGGCGGCGGGGGTGCTAGGATAGCGGTGCAGCGGCGAGACGGGGCAGTGACAAGGCGGTGCAGTGACGTGCCGAGAAGCTACGCCGACGTAGCCAATCGGGGGCGGCGTCTCTGGTTTCGGCAGCGTCTCCGCGACGGCGATTAGTTCTGGCGGGCGGTGCTCCCTTCCCACCTTCTCCTCCTCCCTTCCTCTCCTTCCCTTCTGGCATGGTGTGGTTCGTGGGTTTCCACCGAGTGTCGGCGGGGTGGATGGGAGAGGGGCTAGGGCACCGGAGGGGTTTTTTATAGCCCGAGCTCACCCATGGCGGGCGGCAGATGGCGGGGAGCAGTGCGGGGACACGTGTAGGGCGATCGGGTGTCCTGGGGTTCAGTGGGAGTGCGGGGATGCCTTGGCGCTCCCGTTTTCGCTCAGCAGCTGGTCAATGGCGTCGTACGGTGGTGGTAGGCGCGGGCCATGGCGCCTGTGTCGTCATCTTGTCGCGGAGCGAGGTGGGGCAGGCGGGGTGGCACGGATTGGTGACGTGGCGAGCATCCACTCACGTACGGGCAAAGGGTAGGGGCACAGACAGCTGGCACGGTGAGCGTCAGGGCGCGGTGCTCTGCTTTGCCTGAAGCAGAGAGGGGAGTGAGGGTAGGGGATGACAGGAGGGGCCCACCTGGCAGGGGCAGCGGATGAAGGCGGGGCGCGGGCTGGCAGCGGACGCGAACATGGGCATTCTTTGGGCCACGTGATCACAAGGCAGGCGATTCTTGGTATGAGAGGTCAAGGCCAGGGCCACGCCCAGTTCTTGGCTGCTTTGCTCTTTCAATTTCCCTCCCCTTTTCTAATCCCTTTTTTATTTCTATTTTTATTTCTACACTACACCTAGGGCTTCTATGCATGTATACATGTGTTGCTAACATATATACATCCTAGTGGGGTCCACTAGAAGTCATCTAGGGTATTAGGGTCCAAGCGAAGGGTTGGCAACACACACAACAAGTTATTTATAAAGGTTAAGTTGATTTTATTTCATCACACAAAATCATCAAGAAGCAACTCACAAGTTGAATTAAAATGCATATGCTCAACCATGCTAGTTTCGGTTCTACTTGTGCAACTACATGGGTGGTTTCCTAGTATGCACTGCATGGGTTTTGTTAGAAAAAATTTTAAGTTCAGATTTTTAGTTATTGAAAAACCTAGGTTGTTACAGGGCTTGAGGAAGACGTGTGCTCCAACTCCTTTGTATGTGATCTCCAGAGTGGGGATCTCTGGTTGAGGTGGATCTTCTATTGGTGGAGAATTGTCGGGGCGAGCGAAGAACTCGTCAAACATCATCTTCCAACGATTGGTCATGTTGCGGATGCTGAGGTCCTCCTTGGAATGTGCATGCTCGCTGTTGCCCAGGCGAGCGGCATTGTCCATCAGCTTGGTGGCGAGGCCGTTGTAGGGAAGGCTAGCGGCGATGCTGCTTGTTGCATGGTCGCTGCGGGGTGCCGCGAGCAACAAGGGTGCGGCAGTGTTGGGCAGCAGCAGGCTGCTCCTGGTGTTGCTGGTAAAGAAGTTGTCGCCCCGTTTCGTCAATTGATCGATGATGTTGTGGGCGCGGTCGATGAACGTTGTGGTGGTGGCCATCGGATCGATCTGGTCTCCGGATACCAGTGTCAGAGCCCGGTAGGGAGGGGGGGCCTGGGTGGCGGCGGCTAGGGTTAGCGGAGGTGTAGGCGTCGGCTATGGGGAGGGGAGATCAGGGGAAGAGGACCAAGGCTTTGAAGGGAGAGGAGGGGATAGAAGGCCCTTGGCCTGTTCTACTACTACTTCAGATTGAAAGGTTACACAACCCCTGTCTTTATAGTCCTGGGAGACTTAGCCACAAACAATCTAACTTATCCTCCAAGCAAGCTAATCCTAATCCTTTCGGATCTAGATGTCGGCGGCGCGGCGGGAGGCCGCCCCTTCACTGGTCGCGCCCCCTCCTGGTGGCGCGGTTAGCCCAGACCTAGCCGGCCTGGGCCCTCTCCTGTGCCCTCCATTAGACGTATGACATCTCTTCCCCCTTCTCCAGGCAGCGCGTCCTCGTGCTGCGGCTTTGCTTGATCATTGATAGGGCTTGAGGAAGACGTCTGTTGCAACTCCTTTGTACGTGATCTCCGGAATGGGGATCTCTGGTTGAGGTGGATCTTCTATTGGTGGAGAATTGTCGGGGTGAGCGAAGAACTCGTCAAACATCGTCTTCCAACGATTGGTCATGTTGCGGATATCGAGGTCCTCCTTGAAACGTGCATGCTCGCTGTTGCTCAGGCGAGCGGCGTTGTCCATCAGCATGGTGGCGAGGCCGCTGTAGGGAAGGCTGGCGGCGACGCTGCTTGTTGCATGGTTGCTGCGGGGTGCCGCGAGCAAGAAGGGTGCGGCGGCGTCGGGCAGCAGCGGGCTGCTGTTGGTGTTGCTGGCGAAGAAGTTGTCGCCCAGTTTTGCCAATTGATCGATGATGTTGTGGGCGCGGTCGATGAACGTGGTGGTGGTGGCCATCGGATCAATCTGGTCTCCGGATACCAGTGTCAGAGCCCGGCAGGGAGGGGGGCCCTGGGTGGTGGCGGCTAGGGTTAGGGGAGATGTAGGCGTCGGCTATGGGGAGGGGAGAGAGGTGCAAGGGAAGAGGACAAAGGCTTAGAAGGGAGAGGAGGGGATAGAAGGCCCTTGGCCTGTTCTACTATTGCTTAAGATTGAAAGGTTACATCGCCCCTGTCTTTATAGTCCTGGGAGACTTAGCCCCTAAGCAATCTAACTTATCCTCCAAGCAAGCTAATCCTAATCCTCCCGGATCTGGATGTCGGCGGCACGGTGGGAGGCCGCCCCTTCGCTGGTCACGCCCCCTCCTGGTGGCGCGGTCAGCCCAGACCTAGCCGACCTGGCCCCCCTCCTGGGCCTCTCCTGGGCCCTCCATTAGACGTATGACATATCTCTTATTAATTTTCAAGCACAAACACATCAAACGGATGCTGAGTCTTGAAAAAGCTAAAATTGAATGGATGGACTCTTTTATCTTTTTAATTAATCTTGTAATCCACATAAAAGTGTCCTTGTGTCAAATATGAGCATTGTACCCGTTGAACGGAAGATATATATTATGCATTATCTTTTCATGTCAGAAGCACCACAATATGCAGTGGAATGCATTATTACAGGCAATAATATGGATCGGACGAGTTTGCACGTGATCTTCATTTGATATGCTGCTGCCATATAAAGGTATGAAGATATCAAATAAATATAACAATGATAAGGGACCTAAATGAGTTGATAACTTGATATTATGCACTTATCATCTACCCACGCAAGACGATAAAAGGCTACGAGCAAGGGAGTGAGGTGCAGTCTTTTGTGTGGTTTTTCTGAACCTACAAAAGCTAGCTAATTCATATAAAGTGAGTCAGTAGCAGTCGGGATCACTTGACATCATAACAGAAACAATTTTGCGTTGGAATATTGGATTAGGAGGCAGCAGGAATTATCCATCAGTTTTGTTGATATCCACTGCCTGATTATAGATTTCAGGTTCATAGGCATTCGAGCAAGATTGGACTAATATTTTCTCAGCTATGTGGCTATGCAGAGTTAGAAGAACACACCATGTCCTTGCATTTACATCTGCAAGTCCAATGCTGACATCAAGTGATGATGTCTCGGCACATATCTTGGATCAGTATGCAATGCATGTATACTCTGGTTTACTTCTTACGCCTGGACGACATCTTCCTCATGGTTCCGTGGTTTCGCAGACGATGTGAGCCATCGATTTGCTAAAAGTTATCAAGTATATTGATCTGATGATAGGGTTACTCAAGTAGGAAAAGTAATAAAAGATACAAGATCGTGCGATGAAATTGTGAGGAAATGGAGAACGGCAGAAATGTCGTATTTCTAAGAAGTATACAGGGCTCATCCCTACTTGTTCTATATATTAAAAAAGGAAAAAAATTCAAGCACATTTATTCAACCTACTTTCCAAAATATAACTTGTTTTAGTTTTATTCTACGTCAACCTTTAATAGTTTTGTAGAAGTGTATACAATATAATAATATCCGCAATATAAATACCGAATTAACACACTATATATCATATCTAAACATACATAACAGTGGATTAATTATTATGATACTGTAAATTTTGGAGCATTTTCTGCTAGAAATGTTACAATAGTTCATATTGTGATTGTCGTGATCGATGAGAACATGAGAACCATGTAGTTCCCTTGCTGCTGTCCTCCACAGCATGGGCCACCCCCCAAGGAAGGCTCCAATGCCCTATCCGTTTCATCCTCTCCTAGATCTACCTACACACTCTGCTCGTCTCTGATCCGGCACATGCACAGAGGAGGCTGAGGTACGTAGCACATGGAGGAGGCCGGTGCGGGACACATGGAGGATGTGGCCTAGACGAGGGCCTCACCCTGGGCCCGGATGAGGCTGAGAGCATCGCAGAGGAGGGCGACAGGTGGTGTCTTCAAGTCCTTGGTGCTGGTGCTAGGGGCCAAGTGGATCGAGCTAACGGCGTTGACGCCCACCCACGCTTTGCTTGCTTCTAGTAGTAGGCAGTGGCCAAATTGGAACTGTGGCGACGAGTTCAGTGGCGTGGGGATGAGTGCTACAAGTAAGAGTGCTTGCATGTTTCAGTTGAAGAGTTTGTCCTTCCTCAATATATCCCTTCCCAGTCCTCCCAATCATGCAGATCTGGCTATGTTGTTCTTTAGGTGCTTGATTTAGATTAGGAAGATGATGTTGACTCTTGGTCTGAAAGGACTTGAAGCAGCGACTTGGTGGTATGCTGCATAATGATGCGGAGGAGTGCCGGCAATGCTGGTTGAAGAGCAGAAGCTCAATTTCCACACCATAAGCTGAAGAGCAGTTGGATTTCTAGAGCTGAACTGAAGCTGCAGATTGAGTATTTTGTTTGTCCATATTTAGGAGAACTCTGAGCACATGATATTTATTAGACCCCATGTCGGCTTAACGTAACACCCTAAAATTTGTACTTTTAAAAATAGGATTAAAATGATTTATTTATGATTTTTTTTGCACATGAAATATAGAAAAAAGATTTTTTTAATTAAATTAAAATTTATCATAGGAATTTAGTAATAATTTTGTGCATACATGCCGGTGCTTTTGATTTATTGATTGAGTGGTTTGAATCAAGATTTAAAATGGTTTGAAGTGCTTTTGGAAATAAATTTGAAAATGACTTTGAAATAAAAGAAAAGAAAATTAGAAAATAAAAGCATTTAAAAAGTTGTAAAAAGTTATTTTTGAAAACTTACCAAAATTGCTCATTTTTATTTGAATTCAAAAGTATATTTGAAATAATATTTGAATTTGGTTTTGGTTCAAGGTTCAAATGAATTCCAAAACCTATTTGAAAAAAATATTAGGAAAAACAATTTGGGGAAAACAAGATCAAAACCCTCTTCCCCGAATTTTTTATTTTGTAGCCATTTTTTGAAATTTTTTCACAAATATGCTCACGGAGGAAAGATTTCAGAATCTGGACCCTTAGCTCGGCGCCATCGCTACTGGCGCCGAGCTAACACGTCTCGGTGCCAGCGTCCCTGACACCGAGCTCTTGGGCTCGAAGCCAACGTGTCGTGACATAGCAGGAAGCTCGGCGCCAGTCACCCTGGCGCCAAGCTCGACGCCGTAGATCTTGGCGCCGAGCCTTTCTTACGTATGGGCCCCAATCCTTTCTCTCTTCCTCTCCCCCTCTCTCTCTCTCTTATCTTCCTCGCCCGAGCAGAGCACCGGCGCCGCCGCCCGCGCCCTCTCCCTTCACCGGTCGCCCTCGCTCGCGCAGCCTCGCCCTCGCCCGCGCACGCGCCCGCGCCTCGCCGCGCCCGTGCCTCGCCGCCACCGCGGCCGCCCCGCGCCCTGCGCCCGCGCCGCGCCCCGAGGCCCCGTAGGACCACCGCACCTGCGCCCGCGCCACGCCCCGAGGCCGCGCAGGACCGCCGCGCCCACGCCCGGACACCCGCACCGTGCCCCGAGGCCACGCAAGACCGCCGCGCCTGGGCCCGCCCCGCGCCCGGACGCCCACGCCGCGCCGCCACCGCGCCCGCGCCCCGTTCCCCTCGCTGGTCCCTGCGCCCGCGCCGCACCCTCGCCTCGCCCGACGTGCCGCCCACGCCCACCTTGGCCACGCCCCGCCACGCCAGTGTCGTGACCGTGACCGTGCCGCCCGCCACCGCCGGCCTAGGGCGCGCCTGCCGTGCATCCCGCGCCCGCCTCCCGCCACCGCCGTTGTCGGCCACACCCCCGCCGGCCCCGGCACCTACAGCGGCCGGCCGTGCCATCACTGGCCTGGCTCGTCGGCCTGGCCCACGCCCCGCGTCCGCTGCTACTCCGTCGTCGGACAGGTAAAAATTATGAATTTACAATATGCGTACTTAGTTAGCTTTGATTGTAGTATAGTAGTTTTGGCATTTGTTATTTACTAGTTAATGTGATGACTCTGGTAGTTGATTTAGCTAGTGATCTAGTGAGATATATATGTAGATAGATAGAAACATAGATACATAGGTACATAGATATAGTTAGATAGCTACTTAGATAGGTAGTTACATATTTAGTTAACTAAATAGGACCTAGCTATTTAGTTAGTACACTGTATCTATGTATGTAGTTATTATCTTATTTACTTAGTTTGTAGTTAGAAAGTACTTGTTAGGTACTATCTATCGTTTAATTTGGACTAAAGGACATGTGTTTCGTTATGTGTTTAAACTAGATGAACAACCTAGTGACCATATATCATGGAGGCACCGTTGAATACGATCGCTATGGATATATTGAGTTTGTTGACATGCAAAGCGTGCCTGTGCTATTCAATGATAGGCCTTCATTTAGTGAGATGGTTACAAGGGCTCGGGAGGAGCTATATTGCCTCGGAGATGATGGCATTGCAGTTGAGGGTGTACTGCACATAGGTTCTTCTCCCAACATCCTCAGGCGAATGATCCTAATTGGGTGTGCGGATCAGTGGGAGAACTATGTGAGATCGGCTATGACGAGCTAGCTGCAATGTTTGGACGTGGTTGTGCATCGGGTGTTAGTTGATCCAATCCCTCATGGGTTTTCCCCACCAATGGGTCAGAAGTATTATTACTGAGAACTTTGTTGCAGGGCAATACACTCAAATGCTCCGTTGAAGAAATTGAGCACATTCGGCCGAGAGTCAGGGGCAACTACATGCTTAGCTTCCTAGACGTAAGATTCAAAATATTCTTTCAAACATATTATTAATACGGTAGATTCTTTCAGTTAACATAATTTTGTACAACAGAGGTTGTCACATCGGCTACGCCATGTGGCTGCTCGTTGTGGTTGCAGGACAGACACGACGCAAGACATGTACGTTCCTTCCGCAGGCAGAGGAGGCTTAGGTTCCTCTAGCCAAGAAGCTACAGGGGACGGGGATGAGGATGAGGAGGAGGACGACGACGACGTGGACCAGAGGCATGAGGAGCTTGGCCCCTCTC